GCTCAAGGCTAGCACTCTACCACTTGAGCCACAGCACCACTTCCAGCTTTTTTCTTTTTGCTTATGTGGTGCTGAGGAATCAAACCCAGGGCCTCGAACATGCAAGGCAAGTGCTCTACTGAGCCACCTTCCCAGCCCCCATGCTTCACTTCTTATCTAAAGGATTTCTCTCATGTACATTCTCTCTCAATTTGAGCAATTTCTAGATTCCTAGTTCTCACTGGTATTTATGCGTCTTTTTATTACTTTTAACTATCTTCACTTGATCTTAGCCATAAGGCTGAGAGGCAATGCGCTCAACATCTTAAGCATTTTAACTCCAGGTCAGTCAATGTCTACTTGTTCTCTCTGTTGGGATTATTGGTTCTCACTCATGTTGATGTATTTCCTTGTATACTTGCTTCTCTCTGACTGCTCCATCTTCAATGTCCTTACCCCTCATCCCCACCTTTATGCAATGATAAGGATTGAACCCAGGGCCAGTGCCCTCTCAACAACGGATTAGATTCTATATATGCAGAAATCCTAAATTTTTAAAAAAGAAGACCAGGTCTCACTATACAGCCTAGATTAGCCTTGGACTTTCAATCCTCCTGCCATAGCCTCCTGAGTGCTGGGATTATAGGCATATTCCACCATGCTCAACATGACACTAATTTTGATTCTGGGAGAAATGTAAAAAATACATGGGAAAAATCTGTTACCTGACACTAATTTTGATTCTGGGAGAAATGTAAAAAATACATGGGAAAAATCTGTTACCTGAAGTTTACAATACTGAAATATACAAATGTCACCTCAAAAAGCCATTATATAAAGATCATATATACAGCCTAAAGTGGTCAGAACAAAACACAAATATCATAACATTTGAAAAGTGAGCACAATGATGCCTTGTATTACAGATGCTATGGGAAGCCCAAGGGGAGGGGAAGGGACACCACCCTTGATTCATTGAAGCTTATATTCTAAAGGACGAGACAAAAAGTGGAATAGAACTAAGATTAGTTCCTATTCTCCACACCCAGGTTCTCCCTCCCAATTGCTCTAAAGGCTAAAAGAAGACCTGAGCAGCCCCTCATCCCTCATCTTTGCAGCAAGGTGTGCACAGTCAGATCATGACAAAGCCACATACTTGGGATGTGCAAGCAGCTGGTAGAGTGCATGCTTGTTGTCCTCAAGACTCATCATGGCCACCAGGAAGCACTTGATCACCTCCCAGGCCTGCCTGCGGTAGTAGGGCTCTGTGTTGGCACTTTTCAGGCAGTCCAGGGCAGTTTCAATGGCCTGGAACAAATAGGTACAGAAAATATGATGTGTACTAAAATCACATGATGTTTGAAAAGCTTTCACTAAACACTGGCAAAACACAAAAGAACCTGAATCTTGTTTCTCTAAAGTGATCACAGTGGACCATTCACTAATGAAAAGTTCTAGAAAAGGTGGTGAACGTATTATGAAATAAGGAGTTGTACAGGTCAAATCAGAATCAGGATAGAGTTAATAATTTATTTACATAGACAATGAATGGTAAGTAACAAGAAACTAAATGAACTCAGCAGGGCCTTAAATGTGGTAGGTTGGATTCAACTACAATCTGTGTCATCTACACAAACCATGGCACTCTAACACAAATCATCAATTTTCTACACACCACAGCTTTGCCTATATGTAAGCTCAAAACTGAAACATAGCTTTCTAGGCTTTTCCTGGATTCTCTCTTTAAAAGAGAAAGAGCTTGCCAGGCGCTTCACACAGTAATCCTAGCAACTCAGGAGGCTGAGATCTGCGAATAACAGTTCAAAGCCAGCCCCAAGCAAGAATGTCCATAAGACTCTTATCTCCAATTAACCACCAGAAAACCAAAAGTGGCACTGTGGCTCAAGTGGTAGAGTGCTAGCCTTGAGCTGAAGAGCTCAAGGACAGTGCCCAGACCCAGAGTTCAAGCCCCATGACCAGAAAGAGAGAGACAGAGAGAGAGAGAGAAATAGAGAGATACAGAGAGAGAGAGCAAGAGCGAGAACGCTTGACACCTTTGTTCCCCTTGAAAAAGCTTCACAGCTACATAAATGGATGCATATATGACAAATGCTTTTATCCCTATTCATTTCAATTAGATAAAAAAGGTACAATTACAGAAACACACACAACTTGAAGCCTTTAATAGCTAAGACATAATTACATGTTAAGAGTTAGGAAGAAGAGAATAAGAGCTATGTTCAGAGAGATCCAGGTTCTGGGGTAACAGATGAGAGACAAGTATGGGTCCAACTTGAGTTCTCAAAAATACTTAAAATAAAGCCCACTGTGATCAAAACAGACCAAGAGTTCAGAAAAGATACACTACTCAAGGACTTCCACCGGCCCCCTAGCCTTCTGCAAGGAGATCACCCCACAACTTCATTCCACTGAGTTAAACAGCACACCTTAAGTAAATAGTTTCAACAGGCCTAATGTTCTTAAAATAAAATACATCCACTCAAAGCTCTCCAAAACTTTCATCTTTACCTTCTCCATGGGGAGCTGAAGAGAGGCTTTGCAATCAGAGAACTCTACTGTAATGCTGGGTCCTTGAACTTCTGTTACAACATAATGCAGCTTCTGGGATTCTTTTAACATCTTCCTGTTGCTGCCGCCAAACTTACCAAGCACCCGGTAGGCCACATGAGAGATGCTATCGGCAGGATTGCGTAAAGTGCGCCATAAAGCCTAAAAACAACACGCTCTGGTGAAGTGCTTTCAAAGCAGCCATTTACTATAAGTCATAAAACACTATATAGCAACCATTCTTCCTCCCACTTTTATCTCCCAACAGTTTCCTTCTGTTTTCAGAAAAGCCAATTATTAGTCTTATATGCCCTATTTCTTCACCAACTAAGTAAAAAGACATTATATATAAATATAAATGTGCTGTGGGACTGTGTAAAATAGGAACTTGTGGCTATAATTAAAATTGAAGCTGGGAACCAGTGGCTCATGCCTATAAATCTAGCTACTATGAAGGCTGAGATCTGAGGATCACAACTCAAAGCTAGCTCAGGCAGGAAAGTCCATGAGACTCTTTATTTTGGTCAGTCATGGGGTTTGAACTCGGCCTGGGTGCTGTCCCTCAGCTCTTCAGCTCAAGTAAGTTCTCTACCATTTGTGCCACAGTGCCACTTCCAGTTTTCTGGTGGTTTACTGGAGATAAGAGTTTCACGGACTTTCCTGCCTGGGCTGGCTTTGAACCGTGATCCTCAGATCTCAGCCTCCTGAGTAGCTAGGATTACAGGCGCCCAGCTCTTTAGCTCAAGGCAACTGCTCTACCACTTGAGCCACAGGGCCACTTCCAGTTTTCTGGTGGTTAATCAGAGATAGAGCCTCACTGACTTTTCTGCCCGGTCTGGCTTTGAACCATAGTCCTCAGATCTCAGCCTCCTGAGTAGCTAGGATTATAGGTATGAGCCACAGGCACACCCGGCTTATCCATTGGACTCTTACCTCCAATTAACCAACAGAAAACCGGAAGTGACATTATGGTTCAAAGCAATAGCTTGGGGGGTGGGGGGAGAAGGCCAAGGACAGCATCCAGGCCTTTGGTTCAGGCATTACAACTGACAAAAAACAAAAAACTTCCTGTACACACTGCTCTTTCTTCCTAGGGATTACAGGTGAGCAGAGGGTGGACACCCATGCCTTCCCTGCAGAAGTGCCTCTTTTCACTATGAATTGGAGAATCTCTGTGGCTAAAGGTTCTTCATACACACCTGTAACATTTGCCTTTACAAGTTATCACTTTTCAGAGAATCTAATACTGGTAAAACCTCTGTAAAATACAGGCAATGCAAAACAAGCATCCATTCAACACCTAAGGCATTACTGCACATCTTTTAATACATCTGAAAACTCACAAAGCAACTGCTAAGTTCTACACCATGTTGAAGAGAGCCCACCTCTGACTATAAAGGCCAAGAATGCAGACTCCTTATATACAAGTGGAGAAGCGAGGCTCTGGTGCCCCTCACAGGGCAAGGTCCACTTACCTGCATAAGCTCAGCGCGCACGGGCTGAATATGGTCATACAGGAAATCAGGCTGCAGGTTGTCCACACACAATTCCAGAGTCCTCAGGCCTTGGCTGACCAGTGTCTGAGACCCATTGAGTGCAGATACCAAAGGATCCATCAACATGGGCAGGTAAGGCAAGAGAGAGCTCAGTCGTACAGGCACGGTGAGACACAGTTCTACAAAGAGGTCCTTCATGTGCTGCTTATGCAGGCCACTCTGCAACATGTTCAGTCCTAAAAAGAGGATTTGAGACCATCAGAAGGTGTCACTTTCCTGACACATGCCAAAATTAGCCGCACAAAATTATGGTCCACCTTGCATGAGATTCTTTAATATACTTCTCCAGTTAAATTGGCTATCTAACTGTACTGATAGCTTTTGGAGGGGCAACAGCAGGCTGCAGGAAACTACCATCAATTACATTATACTCTCAGAGAAACATAAATTTTTGCTAAAACATCATGTTACACTTTTTTTGTATTGAACTCAAGGCCTAAGTATTTTAGTTTTCTCTCTCAAGACTGGCATCCTACCACTTGAGCCACAGCTCCACTACCCACTTTTAGCTGGTTAATTCATACTAAGAGTCTCTTAGATTTGATTACTACTGGCTTCAAACTGGGATTCTCAAATTGGGATTCTTAAACTGAAAGCCTCCGGAGTAGCTAGGATTACAGGTGTGAGCCACCAGTGCCTGGTTATATTACACTATTTGCATCAAACACACATCCACCTCCTCTCATAACCAGGACCTTTGCTAGCTCCAAAGACAACCCAACCAACTATGAGCAAGTACATTCACAAATTAACACCAAAAGGCAAAGGTAAAGCCAAGCCACTGCTTTAACCTTGGAGGAGGTTCGGGAGAAGAGGCAGAAATTCCTGATACAGGAGATCATGGCTTCCTCCACCAATAGAACGGAAGAGTGCACGGAGTAGCAGAAAGTAGTTGTAGGGCTCCTTGGCTGTCTGTGCAAGCTCCATGGAACTGTTCACAATCTTGTGCAGGTGAGGCTATGATGTAAAAAAGAAAAGGCCACTTTGTGAGCAGAGTGTAGAGTTGAGCTAACACATTAGTGCAACAGCCATGTGAGTGAGGCAATTCTGGAGTTGATGCAAAAGAAAAAAACCAAGACCTCCCCAACCATGATTTAATTTTTCCTTAATGTACACATTGGTCCACCAGGGTGGCTGTAAAGGAAGCATTTATTAAGTTCTGTGGCACTATGTGACACACAGAGGGCAGGGAACTGCAGTAGGAATCAAAGAGCTGGCTGCTATGTGGTTCTGGAGAACATGGTTACCCTTTACAGGACCACAAAGTTTCAGTGGGGCCAAAACAGCCTGACATGTTAAATGAAATAAGTAGCCTAAAGGCAAGGCCAGCCCCAGCATAGTTAGCTGGAGATCCTATCTGAACAACAAAGCAAAAAGGCCTGGGGGGTATAGTAGAAAGCTTGTCTAGGAAGCACAGGCCCAGTTCAATCACTAACACTGAAAAACAAAAAATAAAAGCAAAACCCTTATCAGATTATAAGTACCTTTATTCAATATTTTATGGCAAATTAGTTTATTTTGTATTCCCAATCTTGGTTCAGACGTGCTGGGAATGGTCTCAGGACACTAGTGTGTATGGAGGAAAAAGGACACCCAATGGAAAAGAAATCAGCGAGGCAGTTTTCTTCTGCCTCAGGCGTGCTACTGACAGGAAGCCAAGCAAGCAAGCAGTAGGTGCCCAACACACAGGTTTTATCCCCTAATGCATTAGTGCCCTTTGTTTTAATTGGCTAAAACTTAGGTTCTGAACAATCTTGCATAACTATTCTGAAAAGGGTTGTTTACCCCAGCACTCAACCAAAACCATTTGGCTAAAGCTTATCAGAAAAACAATTCTTACTCAGTTGGCACTCTACCACTTGAGCCATATCTCCAACCCCTAGAAAAAAAATTCTTATAACAGGTTGTGGTTTCAAGTAGCTTCTTATAAAATGGTGGCTACCCTTAAAATGGCAGTGCTTAGCTGTGTCAAGCAACCACTTTTACAAAAATTCTGGTTCCTACACATCACAGGTGTTCTTTTGAGTATATGCATGGTACATTTATCGTATAAACTACACGTTATTTTCTTGACGAAAGTTTTAGGGAATTTGTTCTTTGACTACTTTTTTTGGACAATACTCCAACATTCCAATGTCAAGTTTGTCCTGTTAGGTTTGATTCTGGTTGTTGTTATAGAGATACATGTAATGTTGGCAAAATATTTGAAGATAATGAAGACACAGATTATAATCAAGTTTTATATCCTAAAGAAAGTTGAGTACTTTTCTTTCATATTAACACGAAGGTAGCATTAAGATAGTTTACAGTTATTACTGTATAACTGGAAAAAGGTGAGGAAGCCATCACATAAAAGCACAGCTTGTGGGTGCCGATGGCTATAATCCTAGCTACTGAGGAGGCTGAGATATGAGGACCTCAGTTCAAAGCCAGCCTGGGCAGGAAAGTCGATGAGATTCTTTATCTCCAATTAACCACCAGAAAACCTGAAGTGGCGCTGTGACTCAAGTGGCCAGAGTTCAAGCCCAAGGATCAACAAACAAAAATAAAAAAAAAAAAAACAGCTTACAAGCATCTGGACAGACTAATGGCCTAGCACTCTAGCACCTTGAGCATAGTGCCACTTCCAGTTTTTTGGTGGTTAACTGGAGATAAGAATCTTGCTGGGCCAGGCGCTGATGGCTCACACCTATAATCCTAGCTACTCTGGAGGCTGAGATCTGAGGATCCCGGTTCAAAGCCAGCCCGGGCAAGGAAGTCCGTGAAACTCTTATCTCCAATAAACCACTCCGGAAGTGGCACTGTGGCTCAAGCTGTGGAGCGCTCGCCTTGAGCTGAAGAGCACAGGGACATCGCCCAAGCCCAGAGTTCAAGCCCCATGACCGACCAAAAAGAAAAAAAAAAAAAAGAATCTTGCCAGGCGCCAGTGACTCACACCTGTAATCCTAGCTACTCAGGAGGCTGAAATCTGAGGATCATGATTCAAAGCCAGCCCAGGAAGGAAAGTCGATGAGATTCTTTATCTCTAATAAACCATCAGAAAACCGGAAGTGGTACTGTGGCTCAAGTGGCAGAGCACTTGCCTTGAGCTGAAGAGCTGAGGGACATTGCCCAGGTCCAGAGTTCAAGACTCACGACTGACCAAAAAAAAAAAAAAGAATCTCAAGGACTTTCCTACCCTGACTGGCTTTGAACTGTGGTCCTCAGACCTCAGCTCCTGAATAGCTAGGATTACATGTGTGAAACACCAGTGACCTGCTCCTGTTCCATATCCTTTTGCCAGGTGCTGGTGGCTCATGTTTGTAATCCCAGCTACTCAAGAAGCTGAGATATGAAGATCTTGATCAAAGCCAGCTCAGGCAGGAAGTACATGAGACTCATCTCCAATTAATCACAAAAACAAAGCCAGAAGTACAGGTATGGTTTAAGTGATACCCTGGAGCAAAAAAGATCAGGGACAGTACCAAGGCCCTGATTTCAAGCCCAGGCCTTCAAGCCCAGGCCTCACACCAAGAAAATAACAATAAACACAAAAACAATGTGCTCCTATTTTACCCATGTGACCCAGAAACACTGCATTTAGAAGAGTAGTTGTGGCAATAGTAACACTGGTTTACCATTAAAGGTTACAAGTGAAATGAGCTCTACTTAGAAACCACATGAGGCATTTTTCACACTTGGCCCTTATTTGTAGTAAATTAAATTCAAAAAACACTTTACACATACCCAATAGTCACTGCAATTTCAACAGTAAAAACAAAAGTAAAAATCAGACAACAAAAGCCCCTGTACACAAGTTATACAAAATCTCAATGAGCTTTACCTTCAGCATTTGCTCATTCTCAGCTGCAAAGAGAGAGACTGAGCCAAAGACCAATTTAAAGAGCTTGAGGTACAGGTTGGAGAGCTCCACATTGGAGCCCATCTCTGGCAGACGATCCAAGAGATACTCCACCAGGATAGTAGCAAACAGGGCCGAGGTAGTAGGATTTGCCAAGAATGAATTGGCAACAATCTGTTAAAATAAGAAATGGACAAAATAAAATAATTCCTTCCCCAAAGTAGCTTTAAGACAAAGTAACAAGTCATCTAAAAACACAAAAGTAAACTCCTGAAGAAAATTAATTATCCACCAATGTTGAACCTAAGGTGGGCAGGTCACTATGAATTTAAATGACAATAATCTGCGTGTGACAATGTCTGTGTCAAGTACCAGGGGCCTACATGTAACACATACTTCATTTCCACTAATAAAGGAATTGGTCAAAACATTTGGAACTTTTAAAAACTTTTCAATGTTATGCTCTTTAATTTTTTGATTTAGCCCTACAAGTGCACTTCCTTAAGTACTTACTCTATGTGAGACTAGAACTCAAGACCTCATGCTCTCACTTGAATTTTTGCTCTCTGCTGGCACTCTACCACTGGGGCCATGCCTCTACTACCAGATTTTACTGCTTTTTTAGAGAGATGAGCCTAGAGTATCTGTCTGTCCAGGCTGGCTTTGAACTGTGATCCTCAGATCTCAGCCTCCTGTGTAGCTAGATTATAGGCCTGAGACACTGGCACCCAACAGCAGGTGCATTGTTTTTTAAATATTTTAAAGAAACATGAATTTTAAAATGGATGTAGAAAGAATGTGAAAAAGAAAAAATAAAGGAGTTTTATACCTGAAGAGCGTAATTTTTTGAGATTCTTTCCACCATATAAGGAACTGTAGTTTGAAAGATTTCTTTAAATGTTAAGGGATTCATCATGGTAAAGACACCAGCAAAGTGCTCCAATACCTCCTTCTCCTCCTTCATTCTAACAGTCTGGCAGTTTGCTACGCGTATGTATGTTTGTCCATTTCCTGCTATCTGGACCTAAAATAGGAGAAATCACCCCAAGGTATAAAAAACTGAGCTTGTCTATATGGATTATATTTCAAAATCCCTACTTAAAACTGCCCTGGAGGATATGGAGAGGGTAAAAGAGTAGATATGGTCAAAGTACTTTATATGTACACAGGAAAATACAACGATTTGAGATTGAGTTGAGATTGTTTTAAGTGTTGGACAGATGAGGAAGAATGATAATGGAAATACTAATGGGGTATACTGCGGCATATATGGAATTGTCACAACGAACCCCCTGCTTATAAATGTTATGAAAAAAATCTTAACCAAAAAAAAAAAGAAAGAATACATAAATTTTTAAAATGCCACTCCCCTTCGATGAGTACTCTTAAGCTTAATTTGGGGCTTTAAAAAAATATAGATGCTCAGATCATGGAAAAAAGTAAACAAATCTATGTTTCCAGTATATTCCATCTGTACCAGTCCTCCCCCCGCCACCCCCACCCACCCACCAACACCCACACACACACATACACACACACTGGCCTTTAGGGACTCTTTTTTGGTCCATTGTGGACGCTGTCCTTGAGGTTTTCTGCTCAAGGCAAGCACTCTACCTCTTTGAGCCACTTCCAATGGAGTCTTATAGATATGAATTACCATAAAAATGCACAACTAAAGCAAACCTCAGACCATCCAGACAGTAACCAAGCTCTCAATTCTAAGGGGCATCTTCCACACTCAGCTTGACTTGCAGACATTTCCTCACCTGGTAAATATCTAAGGCCTGCATGGCATACTTTACAAGTTTTATGTAGATCTGAGTTTCTTTAGGTTGTAACTGCTTGTTGGGAATGAACTGAGCTTCTGGAAAAGACATAGCACATTAAGTTACATCCAATTAAATGCACTCAGATGAAATTGCCATTTGTCTACACAATTTCCCAGCATTACCACCAGGCGCTTTACACGACGTGATGCCCCACGTGATCGTCTTGACGCCGCAGACCAAGGTTTTCACCAAGCTTCGGCAGTCTGTGACCTGGAATGTCTGCTTGTCCTCCTTATCTTTTTCTCCTTGCTTCTCAAAGGGAGGCACAGGGGCTGGGGTCACAGGCGTAGCCGGAGTTGTGGGTGGTGGGGGAGGAGGGGCAGGAGTGGGAACAGGGGCTGGGGAGGGTGCAGGGCCGGGGGCAGCAGGAGCAGCGGGCACCCCAGGCAGAGCTGCCTCCACGGCTCCAAGTTCAGACTGAGGTTTGCACTTCTTAAAAATGGCAGAGAGTTGATACCGAGCAATGGTATGGAACTTGAGAACAAAAACCTAATGGAAAAATTAATTGGGGGAAGACAAGTCATAAACAGGTCAATCAATCCTTCCAGATAACATTAACACAAGATGTCAGTAACAATGCTGGCTCAAGTCCTGCTTATTCCGAGGTGGGGGTGGTGGTGGAGGACCCCTAAAGACCAGCAGTGCCAGAGTAGCTCCTATGTGCTAGTTATCCATGAAAGGAATGTGCCAGGTCCATTACCTGGTGGTTAGCGCCATCTTATGCTCAGAAAAGCAAACAACTAGTCTCACAACTAGAGCCAGCACTGCTGGACTCGTCCCATTAGGTTCCCACCAACAGCCACTGGCCATGGAAAACACCTTTTATCCTTCATCAAGGCACCCACTGGGCTCTTCCAAGATGCCTGTGGCTGAGTCAGCACTTGTCTGCTGCTCCCCAGAAAATACTCTTCCAATTATTGCCAGAAGGATGTAAAGAGCACTCACTCACCATTCTAGCTCCTAAAGCAATCCTATGAGGCACATGCCATGATTTACCTTGGTTAAAAGATGAACAAACTGGCACAGGGAAGAACAACACACCAAACACCCTGGGCTAGGGAGAGGGGACCCCAGGCGGGTCCAGGGAACCAAGAGAGATATGGGACCCTCATCAACTTGCCAGTCAGGCACTAGCCTATACTTAGCAGTGTGCAGACAAAGAGCACAGGCAGGATGTAGCCCAGGAATGGCCTGTACCTCCAGCATCCGCATGAGGACATCTCTCCCATTGCCGCTTTCCTGCTCACTCTTGGAGCGGATGCAGTCCACCAGGTTCAACAGGAGCTTGCAGGACATGGTCTGGATGCTGCTGGGCAGGGACTCATCATCAATGTTCTTGGCAAAGAGTTGGACAGCAAGAGAGAGGTCACTGAGGGGCAGGTGCTGGCGAACATGGTGTACTAGGTCGGCCAGTGTGCTGTAGGCAAGGGGCCTGTGGACAGAGACCCTGTTAGTGCTGATTCTCTGTAGGCCCCATGAATTTCATTATCTGCTAGAACACACACTGGGATTACACAGCTAAATTTGCTATAGCCCTAGTCATGCCTCCCTCCCTCCCAGGAGCAGGACTAAACTAAAAGGCCCAACAAGTCTTTTATTGGCAGTACTAAGTTTTGAACTCAGGCCCTCACATTGGCTAAGAGGCAGTGTACCACTATGCCTCCTGTGTAACTGGGATTACAGGTATGAAACACTGTGCTCAAGTCTTCATGATGCTATAATCTTTCCTTACCTAGTGAAAGGTTAACTTTCACTCTTGCCATTAAAATTCCTAACAGATATTAGTGCTTGTGGCTAACCTGAGCAGGAATACTTTGCAGCGGCATCTTGTGGTTTTGATGCTCAAAGGTAAGTAGTGTATGTGGGTCAGCAACTTATAATCATCTCAGAAATACAATAATAATGTTCAGGCTATAGCTCTAGGCTCAGGACAGCAGAGATATCACAGTAACTTTAGAACGCAGTCTGCTCTCATAGAGCTTAATTCATGGAGAACGCATGAGGGAAATATATTAGAAAAGCTGACAGGTGCTGAGAAGGACCAGGAGGGGAACTTTTTCAGGACAAGTCCCTTTGACGAGACATTGAAGCTGAACCTTACGGACAAAAAGTGGACACAAGGGGCTGGGAAGGTGGCTCAGTGGTAGAGCGCTTGCCTTGCATGCCTGAGGCCCTGAGTTCGATTCCTCAGTACCACATAAGCAAAAAGAAAAAAAAAAGCCGGAAGTGGTGCTGTGGC